CAATGTGGCGGCTGGCGAGTGGGCGGGCTGGTTTCTTGGCGGCGATGGGGAGAGCCCTATGCATGAGAATACCGGCACGCTACATGGCCTTCGCTGACGGCGCCAAGAAACGCCAGGAGTGTGACCGCCGGATAGAGCCAGTGAGTCAAGTGACGAGCGGTCGAGTTGAGTCGAGGAAAGGGAGGGCTTGGGAAGGGAGGGAGATAAGGATCCCTCGCTACCAGAGCAAGCCAAGGGAAGGGAGCAGAGTGATTGACTGACCTGCCCGCCTGAAGACCTGAAGCTGGTTACATGCAATCAATAAAGTACATTTAATTAAGCTCTCTGGTGCGAGGTACCTTCCCAAGCCAAGCCAAGTCAAGTGCCCAGAATAAGGTACACACATGCCTTGCCTTGGTCTTAGTCGTAGCCTAATACATGCATTCACACGCACATAAGAAACTGTAATAAGACCCAGCCAACGCTCTTGTTTTGTTTCGACCTGCAACTTTCAACTTTCAACTCTCCCTCTCCCTCTTCTCGCTGCTCCATCGTGCACCTACTCGTTCGGTGGGTTGGCCACCATTAAGACCAGATTCAGTTTGGGGTTTGGTGGTATTACTGGTTGCCTCACTGAACCAACACCAGCCACGGCACTCGCCTACAAGTTACAACCAGCTCGACAAGGCAATTCCACAAAGTCAACAAAAGAAAATCTTCAAATTCTCCCCCGGATTTCTCCTCATACGACCAATTGCCCAACCCACCAACCTCGAACCGACCATGAGGGTCCAGGTCGCGTGGGCGGTTTCACTCGCCACCAGCACGCTGATCAGCGCTGCCGCCACTACACCCACAGCCGACGCTGCTGCACCAGTGCTGTTACAGGCAGTCCCACTCCAACAGCAGCAGCAGCAGAACCCCCTCGTGGACCCCTCAGTCCGCGCCCACCAGAGACCACCGCTGCACAGCGCCGATCAGAACCAGGACCGGGACCACCGCTGGATGGCACCCGTCGTCGTCGAGGCCGGCGCGCAGGGCGGGAGGAGCATGGGCGCTGTCGTGCTCGTCGTCGTGGGTGCCGCGGGCGTCTTCGCCATGGGTCTGGTCTAAGAAGCATGTCCCCTCTGAAATGATTGACGAAATGGGTCGGGCGCAATCTGCTTTATTGGGGTGTTTGGGAATTCGGGGCGTTTTTGGAAATACAGCGAGCTGTGAAACCGACGATTGGGTAGAAGGAGTGTTCTCTTGTTTTTGGATTTGGCTGGGTGTAGAGGCCTAGCCTGGTGTTGCTTGCGGGATACATCGATTGATACCCTTATGGATGTGATGTGCTGGACACATTTGATGATAGCACGACTGTATGAGGACACTACTACGTGAGAAGACGTATCGAAATGGGAATACCAAACTATGAATTACACAAGTGTTGGGGTTCCTTGTTTACCTAGTTGATTGTGCTAACAGCCATCGCCACATTCCGTTGAAAGTGTTTGAGATGCACTTCTAGGGTAGCATGGCAGTCATAAACGAAGGACTATTACAGCCCTATCACTGAACCTACGAGGGCGATGAGTATTGAAGTCGGACCCTTATTTGATCCTTGCAGAGCTGCTAAGTGGCATAAGCGACTACATGGAAAGTGGGAGGCATTGTCACCGTCAGTCAGCTGGGAAAGGCAGAATACGGTTTGGTCCGCAACCCGAAACACCGTTGATTTTATGCTAGTGTATAGAAGGTAGACCTGTCGAAAAGCCGAAACCTCCTCCCCATATCGGCGCCGAATCCATGAGAACGGAAAACAGCCCAACCCGTGCAACCGTTGCCGCCCTCGACGGCGAGCTGTGTCATTAAAAACCGGCTCTCCATCTCCTCCCCTCCCTCATTTCACAGGCCAGACCGGGGAAAAGACAAGAGTGGGCAGTGGAGAAAAGGAGACATAGATATTTCGTAACCAGTTTTTGTTTCTCTAATAGGTCCATCCCCAGAATGCCAACACTCCAAGATGGGGTTTCCTTTTGCTTTTAGCTCTGGCGCTGTTTCCCTTTTTTGCCCCCCATCTTTTTGAAAGCAAAAAAACACCACAACCAAAACCGTGACCGACCTCCTGCTTCTCCACCAATAAAAAACCAAGGGATGTACAGAGGAAGGGGGGTGTAAAATGATGCGCTTATTTCTCCTTCTTGGCCTTGGCACCCTTGACCTTCGCCGTTCCGCGGAGGGTCTTCTGTCGGTTCTTGCGCTGCTTGCCTGTAGTTCCGAGCCACGTTAGCATTTCCGCACATTGTGAGGAGGATGAGGATGAGAGAAGACGTACGCTGCTGTCTGCTGGCACGCTCGACCTTGGTGCCCAGAGCGACACGGACGAGGCGGTAGTTGGGCTCGAACTTCTTCATGGCCTCGGGGGAGTCATAGACGAGGGCGAAGCCAGTGGTCTTGCCACCACCGAAGTGGGTGCGCAGACCGAAGACGGAGATCTGTTCCTTCTGAGCCTTGTACAGGCCACCGAGCTTCTCGCGGAGCTCCTCCTTGGAGATGTTGGCACGGTTGGGGTGCAGGATGTCACTGTCAAACGCGATATCAGGTCAGCCTCAGAATTCATCGTAATTTGTCATTGAGAGCAATTCCGTGCATGGAACGCGTCCATTCGTCCAATCTGCCTCAATTTTGCCTTTGCCTGTATGCGCGGTGCCTCTCGGAAAGGTGTCGCCGTGTCGGGAGTTCAACAAACTCGGGCGGTGCAACGGCATCAACCCCACGTTTCCGCCCATTCGATCTCGATGAGATGTTTCATTTGTCGTCGTAAATTCGATTGTTGATTTTATATTGAGGTAGGCACCGACGCAAGGGAAATTGCTGATGAGGCAGGCGGAGCGGGGAGACGACTCGTCAAAGCATCGACGGAGGGACCGGGGGACAATACTCACACAACCATCTGCTTGCGACCCAAAAGAGGGTTGCGGATGAACTTGCGAGTTCGCAGGGTAACGGGGCTGTCGTTGTCGGCCATGGTTGTCGATGGTCTCTGCAGGAGAATTGGCTGAGGAGAGACTTTTTGGTGGTTGTCGTCGATTGCTGTCGTTCAATGAAGTGGGAAGGGCTACGAAAATTCCGTCCAGGTCGCTAAATTGGGTCCAACCCTAACGAAAATCCGCCCTGTGCGTGCATTCCGCCCGTTTCGTGGGACAGATCACGTGACTAATCGCACTTTTCGGCAAAGCTCCGGACCTGTGCGCTTAGTCATGTTTGGTCCTCTTGGTTGAGGTGGGGTATTATGTAAGCGGTCAGCCAACTGCCCATACCGATCTCAGCCAATGAAGCTTCGGTTACTCTCATGCTCGGGCCATCACAGGCGGGTGCGGAAGTTCAAGATGAGCAAGACTTGGTCCAAAGAGGTGGACAGGTTCTGCCACCAGTACTTGCAGGTCGAGCCTGCTCTTGACTTTCCTAGCTCGGAATTTCTTAGACTCAGCGAGGTTCAGGATGCCCTCTATGCTCGGTTATTCGCTGACGGGGCTGTCCGCTATGGACCTCCAGCACGGTATCAGACAAAGATTTTGAAGGAGCTTGTTGCCAAGGCTGAAGCTAGTATCGATGACTGGGACCAATATGTAAGCTATCCTAAATATACGCCGCCGGGAGGGAAATGTTGGAACATTCAAGAGTGTTCTTTTCCCTACTCCCAAGCATAAATGGTCAGTTCTGACCTACGAGGTAGGAAGTATCCGAGAGCCTGATGAGTACCTTGTCAAGTCTTCTCGCCACGCCCGTCCCAGGAGAAGCTGCCTCAGTGCAGCAAAAATGTTATGTCACGTACCACCTCTCAGCTCTGCCTGCCTCAGCGGAGCTCAAGCATGATATCACCTTATTAGAAAACAGATCCCTGATTTCGGCAGGGGGGACAACTGGCCTTCGTACATGGGAGGCTGCCATCCATCTTGGCCAGTACCTTTCGCGAAATCCCTCTGTCGTCCAAGGTAAGCGTATTCTGGAGTTGGGAGCCGGCACCGGGTTTCTATCGATACTGTGTGCCGACCACCTGGATGCCGCTCATGTCATAGCCTCGGATGGCTCGGACGATGTCATCAACAACCTCCCCGACAACTTCTTCCTCAATAACCTCCAGGACTCCACCAAAGTCGTCCCAATGGAGGTCAAATGGGGTCACGCGCTGGTTGGCACCGAGGATGAGAAGTGGAACGGGGGCAACACAGTCGACGTCGTGCTCGGGGCCGATGTGACTTACGATAAGAGAGTGATCCCGGCGCTGGTAGGGACTGTTTTGGAGTTGTTTGACTTGTTTCCAACGGTAGAGGTGTACATCGCTGCGACGCAGCGGAACGAGGAGACATTCTCGGTGTTTCTGGACACTTGTAAGAAGAATGCACTGGCAGTTGAGGATATGGATTTTCCTGTCACTCCAAGGGGTTTGCAGGAGGGACCGTTCTACAGTGATGGCCTCGCTATTAGAATATGTAGACTATCTCGATCGTGATGAGAATGTGGTCTTCAACGTCTCTCGCGTGTTATGATAGTACTACTACGTGAATGTCCGACACACCTTTCATCATATGCCAAACCAATAGTAAAGAGGGCCATCGGATACCTAAGGAAGAAGTCCAGATAGCATATGCAATAACAGTACATTACAAAGCCGCCGTCCTTACTAGCACTGAGCCTGTCGAGTGGTCTATTGACATGAGAATCGACGAGCTGAAATATTTTACTTTCTCTCGAGAAAAGAACTGACTTTTTTTTTCAATTTAGAGCAATAAACACAATTATCGGTAGACAATAAATCCTCTTTGTGGTTTATTGTCTTGACAAATGCTTTATTATTGCATTATTCGGGTTGAATGCATGTGTCTATCGTGTCTGCCCGCCCACCCGTCTGTCCGTAAACTCGTCTGTCTTGTCTGTCTGCTTCTCCTTTCCTTTATTCATCGTTCCTCCACCCGCTCCATTACCCCTCTCCCACTCTCTTACTTCCCACTCTACCCCCTTCCCTCTGCTCCAGCCTGTTAAGGCATTTCCCATCCATTACTCTTCGCTTGATCAATGAAACGATCGAGATCTATGTTGTACTCAATCGATTCGGCCCTCATCCATTCGTTCATGATCCTGCTAGGCCGTTTGAAGATGAGTTTTAACTGCTTCTCTGGTACCGATACTCCTAAGTCTACAACTGGCCGAAGTATAGAATTCAAGATGATTTTGCTCGCAGAAATATATGTTGTCGCAAATGCCAGCCACAACTTCCAATCCCCTTCCGAATTCGGAAGGGCCCGTGGATAATACGGGCCACTTGTTCGAGTATCACGCACTAGCTGCTCGATTTCTCCGCGATAGTTGTTTCCCAATGAAAGTTTGAATCGACTGACTTTGTCAAAGTCGACCATCCAAAGCTGAAAGGGCCGATTTCTTCGTATAGGTGCCCTAGGAGCCATGTCCCTCACGCGGTGAGAATACGACCCGCTCCTCATTGCCTCTTCGTCGGCGTCTAGAACAAGGAAGCGTACTTCGGGCGGGGTCAAAGGCCGGCTTCCAATAACATACTCGACGCCCAGCATGTTGGCTCTAGCAGACCAATGGACTGCTGCGAGGCCCATGGCCATATCTTGTGCTATTATCAAGGGCTCCATCCTCAAATCCTCGAGCTGGTCAAGGTAAAGGGGGAAATTTTGTAAAGTCTGGAGCTCCTTTTCTCTCTTGTCCGGAGCTATTTCCGAAGATCTTCTTCCTAGGTAGGGCCGACAGAGACAATGCTTATTGGCCTTATCAGCAAGAGCTTTTCTCCGATTTTCAGGCTTAAAGTAAAGCTTGATGAGGTTGTCGCGGATCAACTTGGGGAGAGGCATGATCCTCTCCAGGCATATAACTGGACCTGGTTTCTGACCCTCGTTTTCAACGGGGAAGATATGGCCAATATTTTTAAACAATCGACCGGCGCTTTCGGCATCGTCCATACCGCCTGACCAGGTATACCGGGGAACCATAGGCATTATGACTTTCTGGAATTGTTCACTCTTAAATATTGCGTCTGATGCTGTGCCGTTGACCCTCTGTCGCATCCTCTGGCCCATAATAAACTCTTCCCAGAGTCTATCCGGCGAGGTAAGGGTCTTTTTGAGACACCATTCTGTACCAAGGATCCCGAATACTGTCCCAAAAGAGCCGCGACCGATCTGCACCAGTTTCAGTGTACTCAGGTTCGCATCCCGAAGCGCCTCCTTGCGTTCCGCGGCAGTCGATGGCACTGCCCGAACAGAAAGCGCCTTCTTGAGAACGTCTCGAGGATAATTCGTATTTCCAAAGCTAGCCTTGGCCAGGGCCTTGATCAAAGCCTTGTCTTTGGACCTTGCTACTTTCTCGCGCTGCGCGTCGATTATGACTTGGTCGATTGTCGGATTTGGATAAGGAAAATTTACGATTCGCTCATTTGCCCGGTTTCTCGAGAGACCTTCGATCAGAGTTTTCTGGTCAGTGCGAGCTGCTGCTTGGCGATGCCTATCCATCATGACATCTTCTTCGATGCAGTTGTTGTTCGAAAAAGTCCGTCTTCGATGTCAGCCTCCTTTGATCAATAAGTTTGCGATGTGAAAAAGAAATGGTACGGGAAGTTAAAAAAAAATTAAAGTAAGTCAAACACAGAAGGTTCTCGAGCAAACCTCGCCCCGATCTCATGTATCGGCGAGGTGAGTCACGCCTAGGCATTGCCTACCAACGGTATAAGCAAAGTATGTTGTGCGGAAAGTTTCCAGTAGAATTGTACTTTACAACATGTGCTTTGCTCCCGAGTATCAAAGGTGGCTATTTATCTCGTCTATCTCTCCTGAAAAATTTGGTAGACTCTCTATTCCTTGCAAATGAATTAACGTTGAAGATCTACCTTCTCACTCTCTTCCCTAGAAGGCTGACTGACACTGTTGATCATGGGTCATTATATTGAAATTGGAAGAGGGACTTTTGGTGTTGTCTTTTCGGCCGATTACTCGAATACCGCCGTCAAGAAGACATTCAAAGGTAGCAACACTCTGGCAGTCGAGTTCGAACATGGGCTGGCTACGAGCTTTGCCGTAACCGCAACAGCACCCTTTCTCAAGCACAAGTTCCCAGAACCTGTACCACGTGTGCCGTGGTATGAATCAAGCCACGGGATCCAAAAACCCTCGGCCAAAGATCCATGGTGGATTGCCAATCAACACCGCTTCCCATCAACAAACGGCGACGATGTGCCAAACGGAGTCTTTCTGTTTGAACGCATACCGCCAGTGCCCCGGATTCTTCAAGAATCACTTATCCGCCGATTCTGGCCACCTGAAAAACAGCAGACCGCGCTCGATGATCCTGAAAATAGAGATTGCATGATCCGGCCATATCTCCAAGAGCGATGGGCCTACCACGAGGGCAGGGGGCGAAAGAGGCTGAACAACGAGCAAAAGGAGTCCCTCCGCAACTTTCCCGCGTACCTTGACGACTTGCAAGCCATGGGTATCGACTGCCACGCGGTCTCGAGACAGATCGCACTTGGTCTTGCGGTCGGTCATTGGGAAGCGCAACACGACATGACCGACGTGGAGTTCGTCATTGCCGGTCGATATCCTTCGCCAACAACCGCACCAAGATCCCATACGATGCCGCTCGACGCCTACGACCAGAGAGAGGACCTAGGCAACCGGACAATCATGAGAGAAGGGACAGGCAAGGGGCAAAAGTACGGTTTGCCGGCCAACACCCAAATGTGGTTTGTCGACTTCGACAAGTGCAACCGCGTGCGTGTGTGGGATGACACCCTCGCCAAGGACATCCGCAAGCTTGCACTGGGGATCTGCGCCAACGATCCCTACTACCCGAACCCGCTGCCAGACACTCAACTCGGCTGGGATGTGTTTGTGACGTTTACCGAGACGTACATCCAGGCCGGCCGCTGTCTGCTGCAGCGGGCCTTTGAGAAGGTTGCGACGAGCGACGAGCACCTAGAGCGGATACTCCAGCGGCCGTCCATGGTTATGAGGGAGTGGTCAAAGATTATGATCAATGCGAAGAGGAACAATGAGAGGGAAGTTTATGACGCCCGTGTGAAGATACGAAAGGAGCAAGGATGGAAACGGCCAGATTGGGCCACGTAGGAACATACAGTACGGTTTCAACATTACTGAAGACCGCAGCTCGTTCTAGGCCGGGGGTGGATCAGAATTCTCGAATATAATAGAAGGCCGAAGTGCACCGTGGGGAATGGAGCGACAATTGTATTAGGTTGCTACCAAGCGAAGGATGATGTTTTTGGAAGGCAGTAGCCGGAGTGTGGCTTCTAGATTCGTTTCTATAATGGGACGTTCAACATTGCATGATTTGAAATACTGACTGGCAAATGGTCTGTTTTGAAATAATAGCCGGCTATCAGTCTGAAGTGCCACCGTGACTTCGTAGTTGCCGTTGTGCTGGCTATGTACAGGCATATGTTGTTATTTCTTTCTACTTGATCTTGTTTACCCTCACCCTTATGAGCACAATCAACAGCTGCAGCCTCGAGCAGGTGATTTTTAATCCTATTTGCCGCGATACTGATGAATGCAGTCAACAGCCGTAGCCTCGGGCTGCCTCGAGCAGGTAAGTATGATCCTATTCGCTGCTATTCGAATGAATGCGATCAATGGCTACAATCTCGAGCTACTTCGAGCAGGTAAGTCAGACCCCAGTTGCCCTGACCCTCATGAATGACCAACGGCTGCAGCCACAGTCTGCCTTAAGTGAGTAAGTCTGATCTTATCCGCCGGGATACCGATAAATGCAATCAACAATGGCTACAGACTCTAGCTACTCCTATCCACGGCGGGTCCCCTACGCAGCTTCGCTTGCCCTTATGCTTGCAGTCATTGACTTGTTGCAGACATTTTATTAATTTGATTAGATAGAGTTGCTATGATCTGATAATTCAGAACTATTAATGAGGATACTCCAACGGCCGTCCATGGTTATGAGGGAGTGGTCAGAAATTATGATAAATGCGAAGAGGAACAATGAGAGGGAGGTTTATAACGCTCGTGTGGGGCTGTTTGGGCCATATAGAGGAAAGTCTGTTGTGGTTTAACTATTATTAAATTATTGAGCGACCACTGGATGACTGCTGCAGATATGTTGTTATTCTGAATAGATAATAATACTATCTATTTTTTGACAATTATAGAATTCTTAATGCGCTACTCCAATAATTATCTGTAGTTATAATGAAGTGACAAAAATACAATAAATGCAAAGAGGAACAATGACAAGTTCATGACGCCTGTACGAAATGAAAATGTGAAAGAAGCAAGGATGGAATCGGCCAGCTTGGGCTCCATAAAGGAGCATCCAACAATTCCGACATTAGATCAATGAACGACCATCTCCTGACTGAGTTAGAGATTGTCGAGACTGTCATAGTATTATCAGATCATCGAGGCTAATAATCAGTAGCCAAAAGACGATATACTCAAGATTACCGATTTCTATTATTTGATACTACCATAGAAAACGACCGGCCTTCGTCGCATTCTGTGCTCCCAGCAAGCATTGGCCATGTTGTGGCAAAGCTGAATGGCAACCTGCTTCTTCAGGTTCGTTCCAGGTTTCAGAAAATCTGCTATGCTTGAGCATCATAGCACGTCACCGCAGGCGCCGGAGTAAAAGGTCAATTAGATGACGTGTGGCTGCACGCCATCAACACACAAGGTCGTACAGCGGTCTGTCCCCATCAGCGGCTGGATAGCCTCCAGCGCGAACATCAATCGATGATGGTATCAGCTTATCACGATGAGCAGTGGACGAACTGATAGTAGGCGACGATCAAAGGCCAGTGTTTTCTCCCTTCCTTATACTGGATGGCTCAAAGAAGCTAGCCCAAAACCTGTTTACCGCAAGACGAGTGTGGCGCTGGGATGATCTTTTGCCACGCGGGGATGTTACATGAAAACCCGTGAGATCAAAACGTTCATCTAACGGCACCTGCAGGGGCGCTGTCACCCCAGAGGCTCACTAGCCGATAATGTGGTAGCATTCTGAGGAGACAAGGCGGTGGGAGATGGGAAGCAAGGCTTTGAGATCGTCGTGTGTGTAAGTGGCTGAAGGCTGATAGCTGAGAGACGGGAAGTAAGACAATTGGCGCTTGACATCATTGAAGGCGCGATAACAATGCGTACAACCAGGAAAAAAAGCAAGGAAACACGGCAGCCAAGCGTAAGTACACGCATGCACGGAGTGATCTAGTCACGGGGCTACGTAAACCAGCGATCGGGGGCGGTCGACGAGCTGCGATCGATGATTGAGTCCCGATGCTGAGGGACGTTTAGGGTAGGCAATGCTGTGGGGTTACTGTGGCTGGAGCGAGCACTCAATTGCGCACCGCCACAGGAGAGCGCCTCAACTATCAATCTCCGTTACGCGCTGGCCACGAGCGCTAGAGGCGGCAGCAAAATGAGACAGGGCCTCCAAACTCCACGCAGAGCCGTAGAATGGCTTGAAACACACATTCCCCATGTTCTAGAAGCTAGACAGACACGGTTTAGATGATTGACGTAATCTTAAAACAACAAAAATTCCTTCAGGTTCAGGGGGCGAGGATGGTCGACGCTGGGTTCGGGAGCAAATGCCAATTTCCAAGCCCTGGTTGGGCAGGTGGCAGGGATGGCGCCGGTAAGTAGGAGCAAGTTGCGATCGTTGACGGCGTTCCCGCTCTTCTAGCTGGCGAGGCATTGGCCGAAACCCACGATGGAGATCGACGAGGGTAAGCTGCGACAACTCCCCACACATCGATCACGCTTGGGGTCAATCACCACATTCTCTGGAGTCTGGATGCGTGCGCATGTACTGTGCGGTTAGAGACGTGTAGCAGGTCTGGCACCGGACCGGGATGGGATCACATCACAACGTGATGTGGAATCCCATGACTGCCACGTTGGGCGAACCGAACGGACGGAGGGCATCCCGGGGGAGCATAACGGGTAAAAGAGATCCTTGGGGAAGGTTGAGTTGCTGCATCGAGCTTATCACTCGGTAAATGCGAATTGGTTAGCCCGGTTATTCTCGTCGAGTCGAATCCAGGGTACCACACCACCACAGCTGTGATGGATGGCTGCCAACGTGCTGGGCGCTAGATAGCCCGCTCAGATCTCCTTGGGAGACGATGTGACAGCTCAATCCAATTATTGGCATCTATTGCAACTGCCTTTCATTTCCGCGCGCTCCCGTTTCGGGCATGCGATGCACAATCTTTAATTTCCCAGGAATGAATAGCCTCCCACTGAATCGCGATTTAGTAGCGGTAGTCTGGGGCTCTAAATGCAGCGGGTCCTGTTCCCTGCCGAGTTTTTCTTCAGTGCTGCTGGTTCACTATTGCGTAATGCAACATTCTCCAGCTGCTGGGTACAACCGGCTGGAGAAGGATGGGATGGGCAATCTGGATCAGGGTCTCGTCGGCGGCATCAGGCGTACAATACAGTACTCCTCATACGGCCTCACCTCACCTGGCCTCGCGGAGGACTGCGTAGGTAATGATCATCCGCTCCGAAACTCTCCTGACAATCCCCCACTGTTTTCTTGCTCTTGTTTCTTGCGGCATCTTTGAAGCGAGTTGATCCATCAATGGCATCACCCCCCAGCCATTCCATGCTACGCACATCCGTCCGTGATGGGCGTGGGCCGGCAATTGACCGCCGTCTTGATTAGCTTTGGGCAATACATCACATTGTGTCAATGGCACGCCATTGATCCATCCAGCCCGATACATGCGTTCATTTTTAGGTCATTCCCGGACACCAAGCACACCTAGACAAATAGTGTAGCACGCACCGCAGTACAATCCACTCAAAGAGCCCCAGCTTGCTGCAAAAGCGCTGCAGACTCTGGCCACGCGCCCGCTAAAAGTGCCTGTGGCCCACTGAAAAAGCAACGCAGGAGGGCCTGACAATGGCCTCTCTGCCCAATCGTGCCCTCTGCCGTGGCCACGCAACCTCCAAAAGTCGGGCTGTAGCAGTGCGGATGGGGATCAGCCAGATGGGATGGATATCTCGGGGTGGTCATGGCGGGAATATTGCCCCTCCCTGCCCTCGAGCCGGTGCTCGCTTTGGGGTTGGCAGTTGGCAGCTCACGATAGCGTCCCGTTGAGTGCCATTCACTTATCGCCTTCGTATTTTCACCCACACCACCACCACACCGGTCTGTGGTTGGCTGTCTGGGCTAGGCGGCTATTGGGTGCAACGCTCTTGTTTTTTTATTGCCACTCTGCTGTTCCGGCCGTTGCTGTAAAACTTTATCGTATTGTGGTCTTCGTAAGCACCGTCGTAACCGCCGCCCAAGCCTCTTCGGATGTTTGCTCTGCGCCTTGGTGAAGGGAGCTGGAAACAGAAAGTTACCATCGTATCGTGCTGTCGTATCGCTGTTACTGTGTAGACCGGCTATCACAGTCTGTCGTTCCTGCCCATTTTCGCTCATCGTCCAAGTGACTTGCCTGCCCGCACTGGTTCGGTGCCAAGAATTCCTTATCCAGTCACCAGGATAAGCGGCCGTTGGCGAATTATCGGATGCAGCAGGGCTCCACCGAGCCTGGAGAACCTTCTTTCTGTGCCAGTCCTTGGACTCGTTACATGCCAGCCGACGTCGAGGAGCCGGGCTGTCTGTCCCCGCGTGTGCAATTGCCATGTACGTTGCGGCCAGAAGCAGCCCAAGACGTCCACACGACGACGAATCGAGAGGCGTCTCCTAATCACACCCAGACCAGCAAGAATCGCATCCCCGTCCCGTTGGTCAGCCCGCACACATCCCGAATCGACACTGTCTGGCACACTCTCTTTGCCAGGGCCGCAAGTGACAGGGGACCGCAGGGGGGCATCACAATCTCATTTCAGACCTATCGCAGCCCCGGCCAGACCCCCCTGTCCAGTTGGCACGCACTAGCCGTGGGTCCCAAAGCTTGCTTGTAACCCATCGACAAGGAAAAGCTCCTTGGCCCAAGTTCGACAGTCCGTCTCATATTAGTACTACATAGTACCTGCCGTCCGCACTCTTCTTCGATAGTTGATCTTCGCAATCTCCCCTTATCATTGCTCCAACTCCAGCTCCCTGCCAACGACGCCTTCATCGACCAAAGAGCGAGCTAAACTACTGCTTATAACATACCCAACCCTCCTCGATCGCCCCTATCTACCTGCCTCGGACCCATCCAGCCTTGTCAGCTCCGTTGCGGCTTGTTTCGGTTCCTTATAAGCATTCCAAGTTTCCAACCACCATCTCACCATACCAAGCGCTTGAGTCCAAGAATTAAATTTCTACTCTGAACTCTCTCGGCTATCACGATACACTGGCACATTGGCCGTTGTCGACCCGAACCCCGTATTCGACTTGTCTCTCACAGTGTCTCATCACCGTTTAATCAAGACCAACTTGTCGCATTTGAGCTTGGCATATGCTTTACAGATGGTGCCGTTAGTAACGCTCCAACACCCAACATCACAACGAGCCTACACCTTCCGACTGGAAACAAATCTATCATAATGGCTGCTGCAACCTGTCACAACTATACCCTGGCCATGCAGGAATACATGGACCTCCAAGTCGAGCGCGACGAGCTCTGCAACCACCTCGAGCAGATTCGCCCAGCCCTTAGCATCAACACCGGCTACGGTTCGGTGAGCTCGCCCTCGGCGTCTCCTACCAGATACTCGGCTTCCGTCTCCTCGTCGAGCTCCTCCCGCCGTCATTCCCGAAGTGGCGAGCGCCGACATCACAGAGTACATGCTCGCTGCAGCGGCTGGGACGAAACTACCGAGACCCTGGACACCATCCCAGACGAAGAGACTCTCTTCGAGATCACCGTCGAGGAGAGGCGCCTCTTTGCCTTGAACGAGAGCATCAAGCGCGCATTGACTGAGCTCCTCAACTGCGAGTCTGTCCGCTGCGACAGGTCAATGCGCCTATGGGTGCAATCCCGTCTCATGGAGACTGAGAAGGAACTGCGCTCCGGTCGTCGCCGACGCAGCTCGGGAACGGAGTGATCATCTCCATTCCCACTACTACTTTCTACTTTTCGCTTTCCTTTCTTTCTTTGAACATTGGCCAAAGCACAATGCGCTCAAAGCTTCTTTTTTTTCACACTACATAATTATATTCGAAATTGCTTTGCATCGACAACAGGAGTTCAAAGTCATGGCATACGGGACAGGACCATTGCCATTGGGTTCGCAATCAACACGGAAAGGGACTTAAAATAGCGTTCTTTTGGATTACAGGGTTGCATTTTGGTCAACACATTAAGCGGCACCGAGGGCGGTAACATTGCGGTTTGAATTGGATTGATACTAGGAGAACGGAAGCAACACCAGTTGTGTTGCACGTCTCCGTCATCGGGGAATATGCTCCCTCTTCTTTTTGGGGCATCACACCACCCCTATGCGCCATGCAGCGCGTGACCATGGGTCTTGATTTCTACATTTGTACATACTACTTAGCTACACTACGAGCTTCTTTTTTGTAACACTACTCATTGCTGGTGACCCCGGCTACCGAGGTGGCTGAGAAATTGACTTGCCACACCTTCGTACATAGACAATGCACATAGACACATGCGGGGACATGTATCCCAGACACACACTGTTGCCCCCCATCTCGTGAATCCTGTTACTCGAGTCAACGTCGGTGAGCTGCTGAGGGTGTGCTGGAAATGGAAGTGCGGAGAGCCGGGCAAGCTGGGGGCAGAGCTGGTCTCGACTGGTGAAAGCTTATTCTCGGCGCGATCGACACTGCCCTTTCCCACTTCACGTTCTTATCATCCCAACCTATTAGTGATCTCCAGGAGTCTGGACCTAAGCAATGGTGAAAGCTTATATGAGGTGATCAACACTTCTGCCCGGGATTTGCGATGCCGCTCTTTCCCATTGCTACGTAAGTGAGGGCTCCCAAGAAGGCCAAGAGAACCGGTAAACTTGGAACGGACCACGGGGGAGGGGTTGCCTAGCAGTTCACACTCTCGCTTCGCTGAAGAGGTACGTAAGAAGAAAGCCCAGGACCGGGCTTGGCGGCATCTCCATCCCCGGATTTTCAATTTGGGGGAAGAGAGAGGAGGAAACGTTACGACTCTGCATGCTGTCTGCACGCCAGAGCGAAATAGGTACTCCGGAGAAAGAGGGGTGCATGTCGGCTGGCCTGACCAGAATACGTACCGGCATACGTTTTCCAGCAGCTTTTTCCTTCCCATGGGATCCGGTGGCTTTTTTCTTTTCTTGTCACAGGATGGGCAAAATTGACTTGATACGGAGTATCGCCATTATGGGCGATGGGCCATGAATAGAACGAGCTAATTATCAAGACCGGGACCCCTTCGTATTACGGATATTCCGTTGGGTCGTATTTAGGAAAATTACGTTGGAGGCTTTTTATGGTGGCGGACGTTGCCGCTCTCCGAGGATTGCGACCCTTAGTCAATGGGGCTGGATTCGAGTCCACGCCACACAAGCAAGCCACAGGCAGAGTACGTACCTATGCTGAGCGTTATCGATAAGTCGCGTTAAAAAACCAGCTTACATAATCAATGTTTAACTGGACTGTCGTCATTCGAGCTGGAGCATCACGGCGCGGCGCGCATAGGAACTTTTTCGCAAAGGCTGTCCTGCCTCACAACAGATCCCTCCAAATTGATGCAGCGACGTCATGTCTGTCCTTCTCGAGACCTCCGCTGGCGACATTGTCATTGACCTGCTTGTCGACCATGCACCCAAGTTATGTGAGAAGTAAGTCTATATCCTACCTTTGATCTGTTCGCAGGAGAACGCTAACCAGCCGAACCTAGCTTCTTGAAGCTCTGCAAGACAAAGTACTACAACTTCTCCCCCGTCCACTCCGTCCAGAAGGACTTCTCCCTGCAGACCGGCGACCCCCTCGGTCCGCTCTCCAAGGACTCTGATGGCGGGTGCTCGATATGGGGTCGCCTTTCCGGCAATCCGTCCGACCGCACATTTCAGGCCCTCTTCCACCCCAAGCTCAAACACCTCGAGAGGGGCACCGTGAGCATGGCAACGGTCCCCGTGTCGGCTGACGACCCCGAGACGCGAGTTGCCGCCTCTCAATTCATCATCACCCTTGGCGAGGACACCGACTACCTCGACGGCAAGGCTGCCATCTTTGGCAAGGTGGTCGAGGGTTTCGACGCACTGGACAAAATCAATACGGCTGTGGTGGACGACAAGGGCTACCCGCTTGTGGATATCAGGATAAAACATACCGTGATTCTGGATGATCCCTACCCTGACCCTCCCGGTTTGAGAGAGCCGAGCGCGAGTCCTCCCCCATCAGATGCCCAGCTCAAGACGGTCCGGATCGCCGACGAGGCCGCCCTCCTCGAGGATGACGGCGTCGACGAAGCAGAGCTGGAGAAGCGACGACGCGAGAGGGAGGCCAACGCCCAGGCGCTGACGTTGGAGATGATGGGTGATCTGCCGTTTGCCGAGGTCAAACCCCCTGAGAATGTGCTCTTCGTCTGCAAGCTGAACCCCGTCACTGGCGACGAGGACCTGGAGCTCATCTTCGGCCGGTTCGGCAAGATCCTTAGCTGTGAGGTGATCCGGGACGGCAAGACGGGCGACAGTCTGCAGTATGCTTTCATCGAGTACGAGGACAAGGCGTCCTGCGAGGCGGCGTATTTCAAGATGCAGGGCGTGCTCATCGACGACCGGCGGATCCACGTTGACTTCTCACAGAGTGTTAGCAAGCTGAGCGATGTCTGGAGGAGCGACACCAACAACAAGCGTCGGGTCAACGCAGGACGTGGTGGTTGGGGCGGTGTTCGAGATTTGGAGAAGCGCAGACAATACAGAAATGAGGGAGAAAGATCCCTGGGTAAGGACTACGGCCTGGTGTATAGTAACGAGGAGATGAAGGATCGTCACGAACGTACCGGTGGAGAGAAGAAGAGAGAAAATGGCCCAGACCACGAAGAGGAACCGGAGCGAAATGATCGAGCTGAGCCTCGAGGTGGGAGAGGTGGGAGAGGACCAGGAGGAGGAGACAGGCACCACCAACGCAGCCGAAGCCCACGAAGGAGAGACAGGAGCCGTGATCGGTATCGAGACTCAAAGGATGACCGCCGGCGAGACTACGATCGAGGCCATCGCGGGGACGACAGGCAGAGAGACCGAGATCGAGACCGGGACAGGAATCGACGTGATCATGGCCATCGGTCGAGAAGATAGACTGGAATTTTTCGCAAGAACGAACAACATTTGATACCCAAAAATTAATGATACCTTCTAGCCGGCCCCCATTGACTACGCTGACTTCCTCACAAACCTATGAACTGCTCCACCGCGTTATGCTCGCCTCCTGGCCCTCCTAGCAAACACAGAACAGCACGAGAGATTGCTAGGCCATCAGACTGCTCAGCAAGGGACACTAAACACCCACGGCCTAACATCTATGATCTCATGCAACTCAATACACCGACCGGATGTTCTGCTGAATACGACTAGCTCTCTGCATGCCTGCAGGACTGCGCATCGGACCTCGAGTGCCCCTCTCGTCATGTTGTTCCGGTACGGCATCTTCCACCATGCGCAGCTCCTTGAATCTCTCTCCATCACACGTCTCCATCACACGTTGCATTTCCTGGTGCCATTGTGTTTTGGAAAAGCCTCGTCGGGGGAAAGACTGTCTCTTCCGATGAGAGACAGGACAGGGTATCTACAGCTAGTTGCACCACGGCGTACCAGCCTGAATCGCTTAAAAGCACGTGGAGATTAAAATAGATGGCACTGCTTGAGACCTTCTGGGAAAGGCCAGGGGGAAAATCTGGTCTGACTTTATCTCCAGAAACTGACACAATGGAATTTACGCTTAGCCGATGCTACCATCACCATCCTCTTTGTCTTAAGCATGGGCAAAGTGTCACCTCTACGACCAGCCACGAAACCTGCCAAGGCCCCAACCCCTCAGTCTATAGAAAAAAGTAAACTTCAAAATCTACGACGGAGGTCCGCGCCCAGCCTAGCAATCCGTGTGTGCCGTGCTTGCAGGTCGCCAAGTCTCCCGGCATTGACGGTCTGAGATCAACTGCAGCGCTTCATCACACAAAAGCCTATTCAGAATGCGACCCAACGCCTCGCTACGAACCTCCTGGTAATATCTCCTGTCTGAGGGAGGGGTTCGTGCCCAAGAGTCGGCTACAACATGCAGTGCCTCCCTTCAGGATGCATACCCCCTCCGGGCCACCACCCCTTCCGCGTAACTCGCAGCAGACGAACCAAATAGACGCTATGTTGAGTCCCGATTGGGGAGGGGCGCCAGTTTGAGTTGGCATGGGAGGATCTGCTCTCACGACTAGGCAGAACCAACCGATTGCTTGCATACGGCCACGAACACGCCCCAGGCCACGTTTTTTTCTGGGCCCCGATTGCTCCCCTCCGCCTTCAGACCGGTCACGACAGGACAGAGTGGCATGCATGCGGCGGTGCTTCGTGAGCTATGGCCGTTCTCCCTCCCTCACCGCTGCTTCGGCCGCGGGTTTGGCCAACTGGAAGAGTGGATTGGGTCGAACCCAGGCCAGGCTGTGCAACCACACCACGCCCCAAGATGCTGTGAAAGCCTGGAAGATGGGTTTCCCAGCCATGTAATGCGTGGTGCGTGGACCTCCTCCGACGCGGCACCCCGCTTCATCGTTTTTTCTCTCGGCCGCTTTCTCGCGGGCCAAACTGAGCTGGGGCCCGGTTAGCAAGACTAGGCGACGTATCATGGCTGCGCGGTAGGTGGTGCCGGGGAAAGAGGGAGGAGGAGGAGCGTGGAAGGCTCCGCCCCAACCACTCCTTGGAAGTTTCAGACCTTACGGTGCTACTTGACTCACCATGCTGTCCTGCGGTGGGTGTGAGGTGCATCGGCCTCGCTAGCCTCTTGCGCCTGGCTTAATTGCATGGCCCGCCTCGGCTTTTGAGATTCCCCGTGCAGAGCCAAGAGCGGACGTGTATGATGTCTAGTGGACGGGGATAGCTTTGGGCCCCTCCCTCATCAGTGTTGATGGTGTCACGAACGAAGAGGGGGGCTCATTCCCCCATGACCCGCTCAGTGCTGTGCGGTCTGGTACACGGATTCCTGGGCCTCAGGAGACGGGACTTTTTGCTTGTTCTAGAAACACAAGACGAGGACCCTAAATAAACCATGATGGTTGGATGGGAGAGATGAGAGATTGAAGACCGGAAAGAAGATATCCGCGGCGGAGTTGCTGCGGACGAAGATCTCAGAGGGTGAGCACCAGCTCAAGGCAAGCGGGTGGTGGGGGTTTCACAGGCGACTGCACAGGCCAGTGTGAGGGCCAGCACAGGAAGGTCATGTGTAGCGGTCGTTGTTCCTGTGGTCGGCGAGCTTTGGCTGATGCTCTCTGCACGGGGCATCGACTTATCTTCCCACGGGCTCTATCAAGCATATCCTCCAGGCCTCTGAGCCCACCCTATAGTCGATTGTTTGGTGCAGAAGTCTGGCCGATAGACGAGCAATCATCGAGATAAAGGGTAAATACACGCAGCAGAATGGAAAAACATGGTGCAAACTGTATCGAGTGACGAGAGGAGACCCATCTGACCTAGTGTAGAGAGTATTGTAGCCCATCACGCATCCCATGGTTGCCTTCTCGTCCCATTCTACCAGGAAGAGGCCAAAGCTACAAGGAGATAAACCTTAGACATTGATTCTCTGTTGCACATAGCTCTGCCCTCCGCAGGCGGCTACGTGGCTCTCCACCTCTCCAGCATGGGAGCACACACAAAGGAGAGTATTCCAACATCGGATTAGTCTCATGTAGACCAAGCTCAGAAGTGCAACTACACCCACAGCCCAGATTTCCTCCATCCGCTCCCCCTGTCGACGTGGCTACCTTCCCACGGGGACGGAGTTAGTATCCTTCTCTGGGCACATCCCCAGCGTAACCTCGCCTCATGAAGAGACCGCAGTGAAGAGAACCGTGCGGACGGCTGCCTACCTTTCTCCTCTTCCTCATTCTACTGCGTAAATTATGCCTTGGGCACCTAGGTCTCAGACAGCTCATCCACCCTGATGGCCTTGTTGATGCTCTGGAACACCGTTGTGTCCAATCGTTGAGCGCACGTACGTTGCACGACCCCCTCCCCTCTGCACACGCAGATCGAGCTCTGTTTTTTTTTTTGTTGAGATGAAGGCGTCACGGAATGGTCGGCACGCATTCTCTGCGTTTAATCTGAAACCTGAAACTTGGTGGCGTAGTGGACTGTACATGATATTCTCCTTGGTGGTGTCATGGAAGTTGACAGGATGCATGGAACACGCAGGATATGAACGAATCGTGTCTTTGGTAGCAAGTGAGATGCCCTTCAAGAGCGGCTGCAAACAATTTGGAGTGTCTTCTAGAGCCTGATAATCTGAGCATAGCAAAAGCACTGTGCTATAGTAGACCAAGTCCGTCACTGTTGCGTCTTCCCAACCTCATCGACCTCGATATCCTCCCCGGAGGGATAGTAATTCTTGCCAAGCTCTAGAATCAGACACTGGCTGGGATGGTGACCTGAGGACAGGCTGGACTGAGATCAAAGCGCTGTGCTCCCAATGGTTACCTCCCCAAGCTCACTCTGTATACCCGGGGAAGTCGGGTCTCGAAAAAGGAAGGGCACTATCCTCTTTCTTGTTGCTGTTGCGTCTTGTCTGAGACAGGCAAAGAGTAGACAGGGGTGGATACCTGGCTCGCCACCTCGCAACGTAGCCATATACCTGGAAGCCGGGCTCTGGACTCCCCTTCTCTGAGATGGATGGCCCCTGCAACGGAGGTGGGAGTGTGGTATCTCGGATACACGACATCAGGCTGAGATGAGGCTGCCTTCCGCCTACTCCCTGCCCCCCCTGGTGAAGGCAGCAACCCGCCCACGGGTGCCGGTAGACTGACGGTCTCTCCGCCTGCCTGGATTCTGAGTTGATGCTATCGAATCTGGTATAGATGGGCGGGTGTCTGCAGTCTCCCGTGCCAGCGATGAGGTGGCTGGGCTCTGTTCTCTCTTTCCTCAGCGTGCTGGATCTGTAACGTGCACTTTTGGCCGAGACTGGCAGCGTGTTCCATGCTGTGCGTCTTGTTTACCAATCTACCATTGCAATTACGGGGGGAAGAAGCTACGACGGCGGTTGTTCTATTTCGAGAGCCGCGAGCGCGGTTAACTGGGCCGGGGCCTCGTTCGACCACGAGAAGTGATCGTGGACTAGAGCGAAGCGCTGTTTGGAAAGTTTGTAGAATATTCTGTAGAGTTACTCTCACCTTTCAAAGCCCACCGCCCAACGGCTACCTGACGTTCAGCCGGCCCCTTGCTTGTGCTCAGTCCTTTTTTCTTTCTTGATTAGTGTGTTTGTTGTCCGACGAAGCGGTGCCTGTGTGCAATCTGCCATGTCCTTGACATGGAGACACAGCAACAATGGGCAATGGCTGGTACACACGCTCATTGGATGCCATGTGCTACACCCCCCCTCCCTCTTAATAGACTAAGGCAGAGGAATCCAAAAGTAGAGATGAAGGTCGGGATGGGAGACTAGACGAAACGCATGAACAAGAGATCAGAGAACTTTTCACACGCTCAGGCCTCGAACGCGCGACAGCCAAGCGGCACGGGAGATGATGGAGTGTCTTTCCAAATGCCGAGCCTTATTCATGGAGGTGAGGCAGGGTATGACAAGAACCTGGCCCCCCTTGTCACTAGACATGCTGGCTCTGCGAGCCTTCACGTCTGTTTGTGCGACTTTCCCCACGGATTGGGTGTTACCTCCTAATTGCTACATGGCTTTGCCGATCTGTTCTCGACTTGAGACTTGCATCAGCCTTCACAATGCTCCCCTCGGACGCTATAGGTAGATGAGATGGCGTGCGGTCTGTGTGAAGGCACGTAGCAGCAGTCACCCGGTTCATCTGGCCCCCTCAATATATGGATTGTATCAATGTCGTCTTAAAGATGGGCCCGGGGAAGAACCCAGCGGTGACCGAATAAGGCATGATGGTCCGATCGATGAGGAGGATCTCAACGCAGATGATGTGCATATGCCTGGAACGGCTCCATTGCTGCAGATTTCCATGCTTGGCATATGCCATGTTCCCACCCAGCATCCACCGCCCAGGACGTTGGGCCTGTGCTGCCTATCTACTTATGTTCACTGTGCGTAGTATTCAGAGAAGGGATGAGTCTTGTTCCTGTCTTCCTGTGTAGACTTCGTTGCATCAATCACAAACACTACGAGGGAAAAAGGACCGTACGGAAGGGGGAATCATAGATGTGAGCTTCTTGTACGACTGGGATCTTCTGCAAGAACTGTCAAGTGAGCAGTGATGCACGCAGAAACACCGCCTGCTTCGCTGATGAGGGGCCCGGACTGTTTACTGCGGATGCTTATGATACAGAGAATTTCTGGTGCGACCGCACGCCAAGAGCCAGGAGCCAGGAGCCTGGCCGTGTGGCGCATTTTTGCGTCTGCAGAACGGGCGCTGAGATGGGCTACTTGGCTTGTCTGCGTTTGTCTTATTACTTACATCATGCAGAGTTGTCTCGATGTGGCCAGCCGCCCAGCCACTGTTTTCTCAATCATCAGCTGCCTCACATTCCGGTCGAGGGACGAGCAAAGTTCCCTTCCCGACGGGAGAAGATAAAGAAGCAATGTGAAGAAGAAAAAGGAAAAAAACTGATCAACATGGGGTCGGTAGATTATGGGGTCGGTAGATTCAAGGACCTGGGAGAGTCTCATGCGCCTGTGGCTTTGGAGTTACTCCAGGCCCAAGAGGTGAACGCAGGAGAAACGTGTCTTTGGCACGGACCTTGTGCGAGGGTTCGAACAGTACAATTCCATCTAGGCCAGCTGCTAGAATAACTCCCCTAGGTAGCTTTGGCCGATGCATCTTGACCGCGATGCGGTTGGGCCCCGTCCATGATAGTCGCCCGTTGTTGCATTGCCAAGGGCCGTTCGAAAAGCGTTCTATATGCATGAGATGGACGGATCTTGCTGCATCTTCCCGTTCACAACGCTCAGTACAACGGGGAAAAGGAAGGAAAAAAAGAAGAACCTGGTTTCTGGTTCGGCTCGCCACCTAATATCGACGTGCTCCAGGTCTCGGCACTCTCAACGGAGGTCCTATCGCCGGTAATTGATAGTATAGACAGCAAGTAACTCTCGAATATAGTATGTAGGTAATAACCAATAAGGCTTGATCTGCAGGTCTGCAGCTTACAACGCCCGCCACCTAAACGCTCAACGGCGTCAGACGTGCGAAGGCCAAAGCGACTGGACCCGGTTTTCCGTTTACTTCGAACGCTCTCTGCAACTGTTTTGTCTTGCCAAGTTGGCCGCCTGCATTTGCTGCCTAGATTTTGGAAAGTAATGGAAGACGAAAGAGATGAAAATAGAGACGTCTCGATGTACCATCTCACGGGGAGACTTGGCCGCACGCCCATAGTCCTGAGCAGTGATGAGTCGCCGGGCCTCGCTGAGGTTTGGCATGACATCTGCCGTGCGACCAGAGGGCATGCTACAGCCATGAGAGCAGCTCAGTAGGCTCTTGACGCGCCTCTGAGAGCACCAGGCAAACTTGCAGCGACTGATACCTGGCAAACATGGCCCCGTCTGCTGGTGGGGCGGCCATGGCAGCAAACGCATGCAGGCTGTTGCGCGCGTTTACACAACACAACAGACGTTGACCTGTGCGGTCAGCCAAGAGTTGAGCAGTCTCTCCGGAGGGGGAGTGAGGTCAAGGAGGGGGTTGTCTAAAAGTCACCCCTCGAAGACGTACACCACGCCTCTGGGAGAGATACACCTCCCAGATTCGACTATAAGAATCGTCCTTCCCTCTCCCTTCTTTGTCCTCGAACTCTCATCACTCTCAACCTTCTCAACACTCTCAACTCTTCTTCACAGTCTTCACTATCTTCCATCGAGTCAATCCCCTTCTTCTACATCTTCCATCCAGTCAATCTCCTTTGGTGGCCATCTGCTGTTTTACTCTCTCCTTCTCCTGATCACTGCACCACTCTCTTGCTTCACCAAGTCTTCCTTACACACTTGCATCAACTTCCCCTTCGCTGCCTTCCACCACTCTCCAGTCACATCCACTTACGTGTGTCTGCTCGAACGTAAGTTGTGCCAAGTATAAGAGGCCTCGACAACAAGCTAACCAACATACAAGTTCTCTAGACAAATTCTTGACTTCGCTTTTCACAATGGTCAACCGTTACACTTGCCAGCACCAGCACCAGCATTCTAACTTCCGCTTCACCCCCTTTCAATCTGAATATCGTCCCCCATATGCTGCACCGGACCCTCGCAATGGTAAGTCCAATTGGCTCCCCACTCCCAATGTTCATGGTGTAATAACAGGTGCTGAAGATGAAGTGACAGATGAATCCAACACCAACAGAAAGAGAATCGCTGTTGCGGTACGTCTTACAAACTCCTTGTTGATGATGATTGGTCTAACCATGCATGATAAAGTGTGGACGTTGCCGAAAGCGCAAGATCCGTTGCTCAGGTGACAATGGCACTGGTGAGCCATGTATGAACTGTAGAAACGCTGGTGTATCTCCATGCCAATTCCTTCGAGTAAGTCTTCTTTCCTATCCCCCCCTCAGTTCTGTTTCTGGCTCGCCTGTCCCTTGCAGTGGCTAACACTCTGCTCAACTTCTCCCTTCCCTATAGGTTTCATCTCTTGAAACCAACCTTAAGGACAGTGGCCGTCCCTCCCAGGTCCTCCCTTACGCGGGATACTCTAGGTCATACCCCGGATGCGCTGATGAAGCGCGGGCTAGACTGGCAGCCCAATCTGCTGCCCCCCTTCCGTCGATGTACGAAGAGACCGGGTCACCGTCCTGGGCCCAGGACCCCTTCACCTCAACTACATATAGATCTGGACCCAGCAGTCCAGAGAAGCCCTATACCTGGAGTACTAGCGGCTTCATTTGCCAACTGCCTGAGGCGGAGGTCGGTTCTTCCAGCAACTTTGGCAACATGTACGCCCAGGTGGAGGACGTGCGATGCCAACTCGCCGCCCATGAAATGGCCCCAATGAAGCACTTCAGTTATCTCAACTCCGACCCTGGGTCATACACCTTCTCCCCACAGCCGACCACCGCCATGGCCACTACAGCCGCTATGGTTGACCGCAGCCCAACTGCATCGGGCAGCAGTTATCCCCTGAACACTATTCCCCACGGGCTTCTCCCCTCCTTGATGACCGAGAAGCTCCACCTGCATGATACCACCCCCAGCAATGATCAAGCTGGGAGCAAGTCAAGCCCTTCGCCAACTAGCTCAATCCAACCTCTTACTCCCTCCACCAGTTATGGTAGCTATACCACCTCTCCAGGATCTGCCTACTCCGGTATGATTCCTGCTACCCAGGGAGAAACTCATCATAGCTACACTGGACTGGTTGGCACGTCGGCCTCTCTTCCTACACAGTTTCCGCCTCCTCCTACCAGCACCTATGTTTACACCGACATGAGCGCCCAGGCAGCGGCTCTTAACGCTTCTGGTCGACGAGCGGCTCAGGCTGATTCGTCTCCTGTTTCACAGTTTCAGGCTCATCAGAACTTGTGTCTTGATGGTCTGTCTGAGGTTGAGCGCAAGCCTCCTACTATGAACTAGCTGCCCTGCTGTCAATCTGCCCGTCGCTCGCTATCATGCCTTTGGCGACGGATGGTGTCCCCTGAGGTTGCCATTGAGCAGCACTGCCTCTGTTCCTCGAGCTTCTCCCGAACATGCAGTCCAGGCGAGCACGCCCAACCTACTCTTCTTTGTGGAAAACCTCAACGTCCGGTTTCTATCCTGGTGATGATATCTGGTTTGATGAAAAAAAAAACATTTCTTTCAGGGTCGGTATCCTTGTTTTGTCTTGGAGTTGGCGGTAGGCTTCTAGGCTTGGTATTGGAAGTGTTTGGTTCCACACGCATGTACTTACCTTGCCGTCCCTTCTGATGAGCACGACCGGCTTAGTATTTTTGGTTTGGTATTTTTTGATTCGGTTCTGGTTTGGTTTTGTTCTTTTTTGTTCTGTTTACTTTCGAAAAAAGGGGGATGTGAAAAAGAGGGGAAAAAAAGAGAGCGGAGATGAGAAGACGAAAAGTTTACAGGTTGCGCTAGTTAAGGAAAACAGTACTAAGGAATGAAAATCTAAGGATTTTGGGAATATTTTCGTGCCATATAATCGGTGATATGCCCCTGTTACACTTGTGAAGAGCGCACGCTGCGATGGCTCGCCCCCGAATTGTGCATTTCCTTCCACTCCCGATCTCTTCATCTGCGCCAATTCAACTTTGTCAGCAAGGATAGGGAGTACATGGAAATGCAGGCACAAGTCGAGGAGTAGCTCGAGGCTCCTGGCTGCTGTGCGAGAGAGTGACCCGAGATTGACGGCTGTCAAGGGCTGCCAGGTTGAGGAACGATCACAAACAATTTGACGTCGTGACCTTGTCAAGGGAAACACACAACTGTCAGGCTTCCGTTTACAGCGGCCAAATCCGTGCTAGACCCCTTGGTCAACAGGAATGTGATACGTATGACCGACTGTGGCCTGTCACCGGTCTAGCTTTGGAAGCATGCCATAAGTAGGATTCACATGACGGTTGATGGTGCCCAGAAAGTTCCGATCGAGGGTTGCCTCGTGGCAGGACGGATGCATTCCGTGTTAAACAGGCAAGGAGGATTTACCGTGCCACTGCAGCTGTCTTGAAGAACCCGAGGGCTTGGAGGAGAAGTCGAAGCACGACGGCTTGATGTCGAGCGCGGGAGTTCGGATGCCAACAATGCGAGCCTTCGGGCACGAGAGCAGCGAGAAGATCCTTACAAGTAGTTCATTCACAAGAGAGGAACACCAGAGAAACTGGTCACTTGGCTGGCTGTTCTTACCTAGGATGATGGAGGAAGGAATCTGACCTTTGTCAACTCAAGGATAGCTAGGTACCTAATCTGCAGCACAAATTGTTAGGTGGATGATGTACTGTCCTAACTCTGCTCCTGCTTGCATGGTTGGAGGCACTAGACAGGCGCAAAATCATCTGTACTAGGATTTAGGGAAAGACTCTGGTGCGAAATGCATGCGTACTAGGATTTGAGGAAACCGAAAGAGTACCTATTATTGCATTCTGATACAGTGTACATGTAATTAGTCTCGGCTTGCAATAGTCCTGGAGAGACTGGAGCCTTTAATCTTGGGGAGATCATCGCCCCGACGCAGGTGATCCACAGCGGGGTGCTCTTTCCACAGGAAGGCATGAGCGAACTGAAGCGAGAAGCGGGCTGCTTCATGGTGGAGCATCTGGCGGCAGCTTTGACAAGGAACTGCTTGACCTGTTCATTAACATCCCGTCCAGAGGTGTCGTATCCTCGCTCCTCACTCACCAATCGCCGTCGCCCTATTGAAACACATTCCTCCCCCGCCGCCAGTCTTCCCCCGAGACCATAGCCATCTGTTGGGAGGTAGGTTAACGTCAATACCAACTCCCCCGCCATCACAGCTAGGGTCGCTCAGCTCAGCTGCAAGCTGCTTTGCCTGCTGCTTGTTCCTGCATCCCGCATCCCCTCACCCCGCCAAATCTGCTCTTGCGCTGCGCCTGTCGACAAGATGCTCCCACCACCGCTCCTCCGCCTTCAATGCGGTGTCAACTCCTACGAGTGGGGTAAGATTGGCAGCGACTCTGCTGCTGCCCGTTACGCTGCTGCGACACCCTCATCCGACTTCAGCGTCCAGTCCGAGCAGCCATACGCAGAGGTATGATGCCTTCATTCACTCAAAGAGAGTACATGGCTCTGACGAAATGGTAGCTGTGGATGGGCACGCATCCAAAGAACCCCTCCAAAGATCTTGGAACCGGTCGCACCCTCCTCGAGCTTTTCAGCGAGAACAAAGCACTCCTCTCTTCCGATATCATCTCGAAATATGGCGACACCCTGCCCTTTCTGTTCAAAGTGCTCTCCATCAACAAAGCGCTGTCGATCCAAGCCCATCCCAACAAGACCCTGGCAGAGCAGCTCCATGCCCGAGATCCCAAAAACTACCCCGACGATAATCACAAGCCCGAGATGGCTATTGCCATCACGCCGTTCGAGGGTTTCTGCGGTTTCCGTCCCCTGGCTGAGATAGCCCATTTCCTCCAGTCTGTACCTCCATTGAGGACACTGGTGGGCGAAGATGCTGCCTCACGGTTCATAGATATTGCCAAGGATGAGCATGCAGACACCCCTGCACAGAAAGACGCTTTAAAACAGGCGTTCGCTGGCCTCATGTCTTCGTCGACGGAACGCATTAGCCGCGAGATCACTAACCTTGTTGAACTGGCCAAGTCCAAGGGTGGCGAGTTCGCTGATGGAGGTGTTCCATCTACATCGGGCGAGATCCTCTCCGAATTGGTAACTCGGCTCAACAGCCAGTTCGGGTCTGACATTGGCCTATTTGTGGCTTTCTTCCTCAACTATGTCACTCTGCAACCTGGCGAAGCCTTGTTTCTTGTCGCAGATGATATCCACGCATACATCTCTGGGGACATCATTGAGTGCATGGCCGCTTCGGACAATGTCGTCCGCGCAGGGTTGACTCCCAAGTTCAAGGATACAGATACCTTGGTATCCATGTTGACTTACAACTTTGCTCCTATCGAGGAGCAAAAGATGAAACCTACAGAGTACCCTTACGCTACCCTGAATCGCAAAGGCTACAGTTCAGCATCAACCGTGGACCTGTACGACCCTCCCATCGAGGAGTTCAGTGTTGTTCGTGCTGCACTCAATGGCAACGGAAGCAAAGCAACTTTTGAGCCTCTGGCAGGCCCAAGCATAATTATCTGCACGGGCGGCAATGGAAAGATTTCTGTTGGTCCTAAGACTGAGGAAATCAAGGAGGGGTACGTTTACTTCGTCGGTGCTACTGCAGAATGCATTCTGGAATCCCAAGGCGAAGATGGCGATGAGTTCGTCACCTTCAAGGCATTCTGCGAGATTGCGGAGGGCGACAAGGAAAGGCTATGATTTTGGCCCATTGTGGCTTACGAGAGATGAAAGCATTTATGCAGCGCGAATGGTACAGACACGATAGAAAATCAAACTCATAATGGCGGGCCAGATCCGATATCTATTCAGATGATGCAATTGAGATTAGACGGAATCGGTTTGAAAGGGCCATGCGTGAACAATAGAAACTAATCTTCCCAAATCAATCATGTATGTGTATAGAAGAAGCTCTTTCTATTGTCTGTTGCTCCGCAGAGTATTGTTGGATCTCGGCGCATTTGCATTGGCTGATCCCGCAGTTCTCCGCTGTCAAAAGAGTGGGGCTAAGCTTGACCTCTTGACCGCCTTATTCTGCCGTTCGACAACCGACATCGCCCATTTACCTCCAGATACCGTGAAGCGCAGCTAACACAACGACGGGATCGAAAGACGGGGTATGATACAGTAGAAGATGGGCCAGACTCGTCTTCAGCTAGCCCCCAGATTTTCTTCGCATCCCCGACATTAAGAAACCAAATCCGAACCAAAACCAACCCCTCTTTCCTCGCGCCCTCGTTCGCGCGCAGCTAGCGTCGCATCCAGAAGCTCAAGCGAACATGTCGTCGCGCAACCGAAGCGGCCGCGGGTCGAACCGCAACAACGGGAACAACGCCAACAGCGACCACGGCGAGGAGGCGCAGCTCTGGGAGTCGATAAAAGCGCGGGTCAGCGAGGTGGTGGTGGGCGTCAACGCGGAGAGCAAAGGGCTGTCCAAGCTGGTCGAGATGGACAAGGAGATGGGGAGCATGGACTCGGAGAAGATCCCCGGTTCGTCGCTCAAGGAGATGGAGCAGCTGTGCCGCGCGGGAGTCAAGCAATCGGACGACAACATCCTCAAGGCGAGGGAGCTGGTGGACCAGCTCAAGATCCTGCGGGCCGTGTGCGTCGCCAAGGAGCAGGCCGAGGCCGCCGTCGCGGGCCCGTCCAAGAGGAGCTCGGCGAGGGACAACGCCGCCTCCGCGGCTGCGCTGTACGATTTCGACGGCGCGGGCGACTCGCCCGTGCCGAGCCCCCATGCGTCCGGGTCGCAGCGCGGCAAGTTCGGCGACCGCGTGAACCCTCGGGAGCGAGACCGCGAGAGCCAGAGGGGGGACAGGGACAGAGATAGCATGCCGCCCAAGGCGGAGAGTGTCGAGCCGCAGGGAGTCTCGACACCCATCGGCCTGACGGGGGGCGCAATGAGCAGATCCAAGGTCGTCTTCTCCAAGGGGGAGTCGGTCGCCTTCAAACCCAAGACGGTCAGCGGGGAGGCCGCCTCGGACTGGATACTAGGCGAGGTGGCGCAGGTGCTGGGCGAGGGCAAGAGCCGGCGGTACAAGGTGATTGACGTCGAGCCGGAGGAGCAGAGCAAGCAGAAGGAGTACCGCACGAGCGCGAGCAGCATGATACCCATTACGCCGGAGAGCCAGGCCGCGACGCTGGGCCCGTGGGAGCCGAAGACGACGGTGCTGGCCCTCTACCCGAACACTACGACATTCTACAGGGCAGAGGTGCACAGCATGGACGAGGACGGCCGGGTCAACCTCAAGTTTGAGGGGGAGAACGACTCCTCGACTCTTCAGCAGGTGGAGCGCCGGTTCGTCATTGAGTATCGACCTTGAAAT